CTTCAAATTTTCCCCCGTTTTTCAGTTCAGCCTGTGCTCATTCCAAATTTACTGAATATTTCTGTTTTCCAGGTGCAAGTGAGCTGGCCGTGCAGAAAGCCAAAACAGAAATTACACGACTAATCAAGGAGGAGCTCATCAGATTAGTAAGTGTCTCTATAACTGGATATGTTTTTTCTAATGCACAACAAATGGTTATTTTAAGATCTGTTCAATGTCTAAATGCCTGTTTTGTTTTTTGTCTCTTTTAGCAAAATTCCTACCAACCAACAAGCAAAGGCCGATACAAAGTGTTGTAGAGGAWGATGGGTGGCTGAAACGAGGAGTTTCCATCACTCAGATTACTCTTTTTTTTTTCATAAATATGTATTTCAGCCTATATTTTAATGTTTTATTAATTATTTTGGTTCCCCCCTTGTGTTTCATTTGCCTGCCTGTGATTTTGTATCCTCACACACACAAAGATGTCTGATATTACATGAATCATTAAAGCAGCACAATTCTCCTTTGGGCTATCTGAGAGATGCCTTTTAGACATAAAATTTGTTTTCTTTAAGGTGATATTCTGGTCAAGTTTATGTACACGCAGCYTGAAAATGTGGACGAAAGCTGTTTTTACATTTCCTCAATAAAACAATGAACATGATGTGCTTGGATGATGTGAATTATTCAACAGCCCTTCATTTTTATATTATTTATTAGGGAGAAGCGTGGGTTTTTTTTTTTCTATTCTAAGGCATCACAACTAGATCACTGATCAGAATCTAATTGTAAACCTTTATTTGTTTGAGGTAAGTGAGCTTGTTTTTAARATGTTGTTTTTGTGTGGAAAGTGTTAGGAGGAGAAGCTGGAAAGAAAAAACCTCGCCTCTGTTTAAGCCGCTCTGCGCATGCGCAGACTGCGCTCCCCCCTTATAAATTTTTAATGGAAAATGGCTGCGTTTCTTTACCAAACCGCACGAGCTGGGAAATAAAAGGAAAGGGGGGGAGAGAGAGAATACTGAAACCGTCTCTTTTTGTCGTTCGCGCCGAAGAGGTTGACTACATGTTAGCATAGCATACATCCTGCGTTGTGAAAATAAGTGGGGAAAATGGAGCGACTCACGCTTTGAGAGGGATGTAAGATCATTTTTCTACTTAACCCTTTCTGCTCCCCGACATCTGCGAACAATTGAGGTACAGTAACCTTAGCCGCTCGTTCTAGCTAGCACGGAAAGCTAACGTTTTAACTCTTGATGCTAGCACCTCAATTAAGCATCTAAACACTCATTGTGGTGATGTCAAGGTTTAAACCGATTTATTAAATCGCTATTGGTCTCAAAASATTCGCTAACCGGGGTAACATTATTATTAATATTTGATTGTGTGTTTGGGCACAAAGATGCGGGATCCGTGTGCATATATTTGTGAATGGAAACAACTAAAACAGGCTGGTGTTTGTGATAGTAAAAGTGCACAGCATCCTGTTTTTCTCTGCAGGATCTCCTCAACAGACCARGCTCTTTTGTAAACTCGGCACTGATAAAATCAAGCCTTTCAGACAGTCTAATCTTGCGAATAATATCTCTTTTATTTGCCTCTCTAGAAAGGGTTTGCTAATAATTAAGCTTACCTTTAAGAAAATTACCTTAACAAAGGACCTCCTAACAAGCTGAGATGAGTATCTTCTGTCAAAAAATTTAATCCTGTTTCACTTGATCAAATAAAGTCTTGAGGAAAAAAAGTTTTTTCTTTGTGGAACATCGTATTACAGTTAAAACACGCAAATGTTCCTTTTGTTGGAGAAACTTAATGGCTAAAATTATTTAAAAAATGAAACAATTTGGTATCCTGGTGAAAATTTATTTAACTCTAGTAGTCTTCATGTTTAAATGTGAACTCGATGTAAACAAAGCACTTTTATCTGCATACATTGCTCAATAAATTTGTACCAATATGTTTAAATTGCCAGACTTCTTGATCCCAACCCATCTTTCAAGGATAATCTTCATCCATCCATCCATCCATCCATCCATCCATCCATCCATCCATCCATCCATCCATCCATCCATCATCTGCTGCTTGTTCTACAGTCAGGTCGCCATTGTTGATACATTTTAGTCACTCCAGCTGTTTCCATAGATAAACAAACTGGTGTTGGAAGTTGGCATCCATTCACAAATTTGCTTACAATTTTTTTATTTAATTTAATTAATCGTCAGTATGATGAAAGAAAAAACTATAGGTTTTGTTTCCTTCTTGGATTTTTTATAACCTCTTAAGCCCCAAGGTAAACGCCTTGAAGTTTGTGCTGGAGATGATATGTCCAAATGTAATTATTTGCATTATGAAGTTTATAAATCTTTTAAAACTATTATGATTAAAGCCTAAAAAAATCATAACCCAAGGCATGGGTCTTTTATTAACCAGTCTTAATGACATTGCAATGAGTACCACTTTAATACTTAATTCTACAGGGGAAAAAAATCATCAGGAGACCAATCTACACTTTTTGTTTTGAACCAAAATATGTCTTTTGGGTCCAAATTTTGTGGATGATTTTGGATGTTTTGTCCACTTGTTTTGTTTATTTTGTCAGTAACAATTTTGGGGGTGGTTTAAATACAGAAATGCACTATACATGGGTTTTTACAATGTAAAAACAAGTGTGCATTGCCATGTAGCATGTCATTGCAGCATGGCTTTACCTGCAGCAGTGGACTTGCAGAATGAACTGTGACCAAGTTCAAATGTGTTTTCTATACCAGCTTGTGCCTGTCAAGTCAGCAGGTGTTTGTAATTAWGGTAATTGTGTATCAAWATGAAGTTTGAAGAGATTTTTTYTTAAAGTTGTTTTAGCTGGGTTTCAAACRGTGATRTTCTACATGAAAGTCCATGGCACTAACCGTAAGACTATTGGAGCTGTGTCAGAGGGTACRGCCAGGTGTTGGTTTGTATGTGTGCAGAAAGAGGCCACATTGCCAATGCAATTGTTGACACTAAACTGAACTATATTACATCAATAGAGCAATATTAGGACAATAATAGTAAAACATCAAAATACAATCATATTAGTATTGTAACCACTGAACTATTCAGATTTAATATTACTGTATTAATCTATGGTTCAGTACTGAGTAGATACAGCAGGGGGCAGTATTGGACCAATACAAGGCTCCATTGACTCCTATTATAAAATATTAAACATTAAWATTTCAAAAACTATAAGTTGTACAGGCACCAAAAGGCATAGCCATCATTTGGCACAGGAGCTTTACAGATATAAATTACAATGGCAGCTCTGGGGCAAAGTATGTAAGAGGAAAGTTGAGATGACTTGGATGGGAAATGAATCACAATAGTGTGCATTGCATTGGCAATGCACACTGATTAAAGAAGTACAGTGCATTGTTACAAGTTGTTAAAGTGAAATTGTGTTATTATCCAAATGCTTGTTTATACCTTTTATGATTATAATTTTTCAGGTATGATTGATTTTCTTTGTGTGTGATATTAACATATTATTTTTGACCCCCAGCATAAGATGATGCGTCAGGTGACAAGCAGTGATTTCTGCATCAACAGCAGGCCCTCTTGCCTAGCAGAAGATGGCCACCACCCCATATCTCATTTTGAACTGTGCACCCCACAGCCCAGTAAGTTTTACCCACCTCCGCCTCCAACGTCCCTCCAGATGACGCTGGCTCCCATGGCCTTACCCACCCAGAGCCACAAGTCCATGGTGTGCCACAGACAGGATGTTCTGGTGGGCGACCCTCGCCCGCCCGGAAAGCTACCTGTCATGAAAGGCGCTGAGCAAACGCCCGAGGACGCCAAGAAAAAGCCCAAAGGAGTCGGGAAGACGGGAAGACGCGGGAGGCCTTTGGGAACCACCAAGCTAGCTGGATACAGAACCAGCACCGGGAGACCCCTCGGTACGACCAGGGCGGCCGGGTTCAAGACGAGTCCGGGAAGGCCGCTCGGTACAACCAGAGCTGCGGGGTATAAGGTCAGTCCCGGGCGGCCTCCTGGCAGCATCAAAGGCCTGTCTCGCCTGAACAAACTGGCTTACAGTAACACCTGCAGTGGAGCAGCTTTCCCTTACCCGCTACCACACAAAGAAATGCTCTGTGAACCTTCCTGCAAAGAGAAACCAGCCACTGAGCAAAGGCTCTGCGCTGATTCTTCTTCACCCTGACCTGCTGGGGTAATAGACACATGTACAGGTTTCCTGCTTCGTATTAGAGGGTGGTTGTAATATTTCTCACTGTGCTGTCGAGCTGAAAGGAGGAAAATCTTTTTAAATATTCTTCTTGTTGTCAGTTGTGTGCCTGCCATCTAATATATGTATCATTACTTTTTTAATGCTCCTACTGCAGTGTGTTAACAGAGCCTCTACTACACTTTGCTCTATGTTTTCTTTGGAGCTGAAGTGACTGCTAATTGAGCTACAGGCTTTTACCTAGCAGCTCCCATAGCGGAAGCTCAATTTTTAGTGTTAAAATAAACATTTTAAACAAAAGGGAACGATACTTTCTGCCAAGAAAGAGACGTTTTTAGGACTGATGGTCACCATGTAAAATCCGTTAAGAAACATTGAGATAATTGTAATGTTCAGCATATTTCAGCTAAATTAGCTGTTTTAGCATAATCCTCTCATCGCTTAAAAAAATGTGACAAAGCAAAAAATGGCAGAGGAGAAAGAAAAGTACCGTCTTCCATAGGATAAAATCTGGTATCTGTTAGAAACAAAAACGAACATAGACCCAAGCTGGCAGCACACAATGACCAAAACGTTTAACTCTGCAACACATTAGCACTAAAAACATGACTGCTCTGGATTGTGTGGTAGTCTTAACTCTAGATGTTTCTTCCAAAATGTCTACGTATTATTATTTGCATGCAGATGTCTTTAAAACAACTGATTTGAGCTTAAAGAATGTGAGAAAAAAAGACTGCTGTCTTTGTTACTTTATTTTGACTTTTTAAATATTATAATTTCATACTGTGGGTTCCATATTTCTCCCCATAAATGCCAAATTTGAGATTGAAAATTTCAACCACACGTTACCATTTTCACTTAAAATTTAACTTTTTGTCTTTAATGATAGAACATTCAACTCTGATRTAATCAGCTTGAAGATTTTTGATACTTGTACTCATCACTCTACAAATCCCCATTTTTGTGCATTTTGTATGGCGCTGCTTGTGTGCCCATCATTTAGTTTCACRTGAAGCAACATATGATGTACTTTACATCATAAAATAAGTCGTTGATGAGCAAAACACTTTTTCAAACTATAAAAAGAATGGCTCTAAACTTTTTTCTAGTTGTTAAAATTGATTCATTTTCCATCCGTTTTTTTATCCCAATTGTTAGAATGTAATGTGATCCTATATATAGTAAATTTGTGACTGTCTTAATGACTATGTAGCAAGAAAAAAACATTATGTGTCAACAACCATATTGTTATTCAGAATTTAATCAAAATTCTATAAACTTTTACTTTGTAAGCCACTCTTCTGAYGTGCTTACCAAACTTATTTGTTTCAGTGAGCTCTGACAGCTTCAGGCAGCATTCAAGCTGCAACTAGCTACTTTCCTGATATGTTTTTAGTCTCCCAGCATTCATCACCTCTTGCTTTTTAAAAAATATGAAGATTTTTCAGCTCGTTGAAATGATCTCAGCCATGGCTTCATTTGTGATTGACAGTTACACTAAAATTATATACACGTTTTAATTTAAAGACCGTGCAATCATGAAAMGGTTTGATCATTAGTCTTGGTAATTTCAAAATAAAATAAATAACAAAGAGACATTAGGTATTTTGCAACATTCTGTAKATACAATCAGACCACATATAAAATAAATGATCAAAAACAACTGTTAAGTATGATTACGTTTTTTGTAAACTCGTTAAGCATTCGAGTTGTTTCATTATTCATGTATAGACAACACTAATTTAGTACGTAAGAAAAAGTAAATTCATTGAGTTMCTTCTGGATAACACAATTTAAAATGTTCAAATTTAGTGCAATATTATGTTGTATTTATAGTATAACTGCTTCTATTATGTTCTATTGCTGTGTTTTTAAGCTTGTGTGTAAAACCCCTTCAGAACATTTTTAATTTGATCATTGTGAACACACGATACAAAAACATCCTTTTCAGACCCTTTACCAAAGAATGCATTTTGATTACYAACATTTAATCTTTTTATCTTTTAGGAATACGTGTTGAAAGCTAACCTTAGCATGATTGTTGAGATTCATGTTGCATCTGTTCTTTAAATAATCACAACACACACTGATGTAAACCTTTTAAAGGTTTTTTTTTTATTATAGTCATCTGGTATACTTATTTTTTAAATTATACTTTGTAACCATGTTTAATATTTTATTTGTACTTTCTGGTTTATTTATAAACAATCCTTTCATATCATAAAATAATCATACCGGTTTATAATTTCTAAAAGTTTATTAATGTGGTCTTGTTTTGGAAAATTCTTTATCTTTTGACAAGCAAATATCTTTTGTTTTGTGCGCATGGTTTATTATTCAAAAGCTTTACACTGTGCTAACACGCTAAAGCAGCTGGTGTGGTATTTTGTTTYGTTAAAGCTCTTAAAACTGAAAAGAATTCAACATAAAACATCAAATTTAAAAGGACACCTATTTTGTTTTGTTTGGGTTGCGTATTTTAACATCCGACAACTTTTTAACGTGCTAGCATGCTAAATTAGCTCGTAAGAGCTTTGGTTTGATTGAACTTGTTAAAAACAAAAACAATCTAATTTTATTTTTAAAAATCTCAATTATGTGTATTTTTTTCTTTTCGATTGTGATTTTTGTTGAAAGGCAGCTCGTTTCCAGAGRGTAGAGTTCCCGCCTTTTTTGTGTTTTCTGAAGCAGTTTAGTATGCAACAGTTGTGTTTATTTCTTGAGCAAACTGAATGCCTTCATTTTAATTTTTTCTAAATAAAAAATGTCCAAGGTTTTTACAAAAGGAGGCATAAAAAAAATCCGCATTTTTTTGGACTTCCTCGTACAATAAATTGTTGTGGTATGCTAACAGTAATGCTAACTGTTGTTGACATTGCACAATTATTCACTGCGGTAGAAATTGATCAAGTCAAATTAAAAAAAAAATCCAAGAACATGTTTCAGCTATCTACTAACACTGATACAACTGCTAATAAAAAAAGAAAAAGTTAGAGCTATAACTATTATCATTATGATCTTACGATGTGTAAATGTAGCTAATCAATAAAAGCTGATATTGTAAGATTTTGGTTGGAAATGGATTTTGTGCATTTTTGTCAGGATTTTTCAACAGATTCATTGTATTAAGCAATATCACACATTAGATTTGATCATTTTTAAACAAGTTTGTTCTGGTTAAATGATAATGGTCCCATGACCGTGGAACACTTATTGTCTATTTCATATAATCTCTTTTTTAGTTTAATTTTCAGGTGAAATTATTTATGTAAAGACAACCCAATTAAATTAAATTGAGCAATTATAGAAAATCACCCAAATTTCAGATAACATTTATTTACATGAATACATTTTAACAGTAATATTTCAAGTTAAGCTTATACTACCACGGGGCTTGTTTAGTATTTGTTTTTACAAATTTTCCTTGTCATTTTATTTCTCGCCACCTTCAGCATTACCTCACATTTGTGTTTTTGAGAAGTTATGAAATCCAGTTATTTCTGAAGTGTGGCTGAAGAAGCCTGTATAGCTTTGTACAATTCACGTTTTATTCCTGCATGATTGTGTTGTAATGTTCAAAAGTTGTGCATTAAACCTTAAAATTAACATTCTGCAATGTGTCTTGATTTTATTTAATTTGCAATTTTGCTTCTGGTATCCTGGCACCATATCTAAAGATGAACTGAACACATGGCATCATATCTACCACAAAGGTGATGAACTGAACACCTTATCTGGTCCCCAAGTGTTTGGTGTTGAAAATGTTAAGAAGGTTGCTATCACCATGAAAAGTAAAACGAGATGAGTAMGAAAATACAACTTTTTTTGCATTAAAAAAAATTCATACTTGGTCAGAATAGAATAGAAACAGCCTTTGATGTCCCGCAGAGGGGAAATTCAGGTGTATCAGCATTTTGTAAAAAAATAAATAAATAAATAAATAAAAAAAATATATATATATATCCAAACAAGACTAAACAAAAATTAATTGAACCGTTATAGTAATTTCCAGGTAAACAACTATTTTAGTGTTTCCAATTCGTTTGCGCATGCGCAAACTCGTTGACGTTTTCTGCTAATGTCTCCCTCTGCCGGCCACAAACCGTAACTACTACGTGATAAACAGTGTCGTTACCGTGGTCATTACAGTCTGTGGTCGTTAGAGGGCGCTGACGCACCCACACTTTGAGAGCAGCATGTTGGGATATGAGAGCGCTCCGGCGGCGCGTTACCGCCATGTCACCTAGAGAGAAACATTTAGCGCTTCTTTCTATTTTAGGACTTATCATATTCGTCTTTTATTACATCCCCATTTTGCTTTACGCTACTTTCATTCTTGTAATTTGTTGCTTTGCTTGTTATTATCTCAGCGGAGAACATCTTCCCGCTAGGTTAGGCCCCAATCCTCGGACTGGACTAAACGTTCCGGCTGTTCTCCGGCGCTGGTTGTCGGGCTGGGGCACGACCGGCGTGTCGGTGGGCGCGCGGGGGAGGACGAAGAGCAGCAGCAGACCGGAGCACCGGGAGGCAGAGGGACAATTAAGACAAAGACCCGGTGAAACGGGAGTTTATCGGAGGGAATCCTTGGCAAGTGACTCGTTTCTTTTCAGCCCCAGGGATTTCCTCATGGGGAGTTATATCGGGAAAGCCGAAAGTCCGACCGCGGACTCTGGGAGGCCAAGAGCCGGGAGAAATCCCCGAGAGCAACTGCGTGAAAAACTGTCCAGARCCAACCATGCTGTTTACTCCCCGAACAGAAGGCTGTCGTTCTCGGGGTAAGTTTGAAACTTTTTGCAGGCTAAAAATATTAAAGTTTATTGAGGTTYTGGGTGTTATTAGGCTATTGAGAAAAGTAGAGCTCTCAGTAGTGATAACTCAAAAACCCAAATAAACAACTGGTTCATTCATTAACTTTATTACATTCATACATTACATTCATACATTAACTAACTGAGGAAAACAAAAATATGAGCTTTTGTCTGGTGGTCTGGTGTGTTTGCCTTGTATATATACCTGTATAAGTGTCATACTTTACTAACTCTTTAAGTGATGCTTTTACGTTTTTGCCTTCCTGTTATTTGTTTTTAAATCAATTACCAAATATAAAATAGTTAAACATACATAAATGTTGGGCAAACCTTAAAAACATTAAAAGCGTTTTATCTTTGCAACATGTGCTTGTAAAATAAGTGCCTGGAAGTCCTAAATAATTTATATTTTTTGTTTGTTTTGTCACATTGTCCTCAATTTAATCATATCTGCCCTGTAATGATCGGGTTAGTCAGCATAAAATTGCTTAACTAACAAACCTTTCCACCTTTTTGTGAGTATTTATGTTTAAAGACAGATTAAATTGGTGCCAAAGCACTGTGGGTCAAAAGAAAATCCTTTAGAAAGTGACAAAGAGTTATAACAAAGTCAAACTTCTGTGCTACAAAACATAAATAAATTTAATGGTTTTATTTTGAAAACGGTGGCACTAAGGACAGCTTTACTATTTTATAGGACCTATTTTTTAATAGTTGCATATAACCACTTATGTGTTTGTGTCAGTTGTTCACAGAGTAATGTCTGCGGGATAAAAGTCTCTATAAAACCTTGGATGTACGTTTTGTTAGAGTGGTTTCTTGCATCACGTTGTGTTTTTGTTCCCCACAGGGAGCCGCTGGGCACCGCGAGCAGGTTCACCATCACCCCGCAGCGTCACTACCCCCTGCAGCAGCCGGGTGTGTCCTCAGTGGGCGTTCTGCCTCCCGTCAAGTGGGACAGTTTCAGGAAGAAGAACGTCCTGAGTCCTCGAAACTCCCAAGCTGCCCTCAGCCCCGTCACTGTCAAGATCGCCAGGCCCGACCACAACAAMCCCAGGTAGTGTGTGGTAATGCTTTTCACAACGCTTTAAACAAATACCTCCAAGAAACGCTTTCATACATCCCAACTTTTTTTTTAGCATTTTGCCTTCAGTTCTTGGTAAACCCCTGATTTTTCAGCTTCAGTTGGTCTAAATAAAAGAATGCTCCCTGTCTTCTGTTCGTAGTCTGAACCACCTCAGGTGTGCTGGGCTCACCAGGACCCCTGCAGACCCCTGCTCCAGAGAGAGCGTCCTCAAGGTGTTGAAGGAAAGCCGCAAAAGGGAAGTGGAGGACGAGGACAGGAGCTTGGCAACGGAGCAGAAAAGCAAAAGAAGGTACCGGTTCAAAACAATCTGGAAGTCAGCGGATTGAGCACTTCAGTTTCCCTTATGCTTCTCACTCATAAATGCTTTATTTATTCAACTGAAAGCTTAAATCTCCTTTTTTTCTTTATTTCTATCTTCATTTTGAAGGCGTAATGACAGCGGTGGAAGTTCCCACTCTGCTTTTGATCGGCTGTTGCCCAATGGAACACCATCACAGCTGGTTCCTAAGTTAGTAAACATTTATTTTTATTTTCAGCTGAATCATAATGCTTAGATATTAACTGGAGTCTGAAGGCTTTGTATGAAACATTTAAAGGCTGTGCTTTTTGTAACTCTTTCCAGGCCAGGCAGCCTTAAAAGAGGAATTACCTCAATGGAAGACGAGAGCACCATGAAGAGGTCTCGCACCTCCTCCATCAGTTCTGGCTCTGGGGCTCATTTCCCCAGAGGGACTTGTGGCACCAAGAGAAATGCCATTCAGAGCTCCTACAGCTCTTCAGCGGGTTTCAGCCAGGTACGTTCTCAGCTCCACCTGTTTCCAGAGATGACCCTGAAGCGTTGAGCGTTTGTGTTGATGTTTACCTTCACAGTGGAAGAAACTGTCGATGCCCAGCTCTCCTCTGTCCAGTCCCGAATCGTCTCGCTCTCAGACTCCAGAGGGGCTGTCAAAAAGACCCAGGTCTGCCTCGTCCTGTTTGCTGACTGTCAACCACCTTAAATTGAATTTATTTTTTAAACTTCTGGTTTAATCAACAGAGAAGACGACACACAGTCTCCCAGCTCAGCATCTTCAGTGAAGTCAGATCATCCGGCGTCAGAACAGGCGCCTGATACTGGTGAGTCGAAATAATAATCAGTTCATTATGAAAAGTTTTAGACTCAAGTTTCCTTAGAATTATAAAGTTTTTTGTTCTGATGTTGCAGCAAAACAAACTCCAGCCCCCAAAGTCCCCGTCACGACCTCAACAGACTCCACTGGAAGTGGTGGGAAGAGAAAAAGGAAGATCCAGCTCGTGTCCAGCCACCGGGACGATCACATCTCACTGGTTAGGACTTTGATGTATTCTCTGACTTTACAATTGAACAGCGACACGGATATGTTTCTGATTCTGTGCTCGTCTGTCTGCAGCCCCCTCCTCCTGAGCTGGGCTACTCTGTCACCGCAAAAGATCTAGATGAGGAGAAGAAAGCGGCCATCAGTAAGATCCAGAAAGTCCTGGAGACGCCTGGTGAGTAGTTATCTACACTGTGACCTCTCATCGTCCACTCTGACACAAACCTTTCAGGAATTATTACTTCAGGAGAATAACGACATTCCTTGTGTCGTTCCTTATATAAATTTTGTTTTAGGGCTGTCAAATGATTAAAAATCAATTAATTCCAAGGTAGCTGTGAATTAATCACGATTAATCTTAAACTTAATATAAAACTTTATTGCATATTGGTATAATAAATTACTTCAGTTATTAATTAATATCTTTATTTTGAAAAAAATTTGGTGCTTAAGAAATACATACAATAATAAATCATGAAAATATCACTTTGATTGCACAAAAACAACAAAAATCAGGACCTAAAAAATGCTCGAAACATATTTGAGTCAGTTAAATTTTGTGCAGAATAATGAGGTTAAATCAAGAATTCAAGGATTTTCATTTCAAATGAAGTACTACATAAGGAATGAAAGATAGATACTAAGGTCACAGCTGGCAGCAAAACATAAATAAATAAAATAAAATAAGCCATAAGAAGACAAAAAAAACCTGTACATAATGTGTTACATGTGGAGTTTATTTATTTATTTATTTAACCTTTATTTATGCAGGTAAACTGTTTGAGAACCACTTCTCATTTACAAACATAACCTGACATGATGCACTGAGTGCATTGCAATATAAAAACCTACATATTCAGTCAGAGTGAAGTGATTGTAAATTTTAATTGCGACTAAAAATTTMAAATCTATGCCCATGCAGCACTAAAATTAATCAGAGTTAACTTGATTAATTTCACAGCCCTAATTTATTTGTTTCTGTTAAGCTCCAGAACCACCGAAGGCTGTGTCTCCTGCAGCCACCACTTCCTCTCAACCTGCTCCCTCCTCCACCACCGCCACCACCCTGATCAGCCTTCTGACAGCTCCCCTGCCCACAGCATCCAGCTCCGCTGGTCCGGTAATCAACCTGGACCCGAGCCCAAGCAGCAGCAGCAGCAGCAGCACAGCTCCCACAGTCACCAAGTCCCTCCTGGAGACTCTGAAGATGAAGACGAGTTCTCCTGCTAACGCTGCATCTGCTGCCAGTTCAACCACAGGTGTGACCTCTGACCAAACTATTCAAACCTAGATGACTTGATTAAACATAAACAAACAACCTAGTGCACTATTATTGTAAGGCTTAGGGATGCAAGTTATTGATTAATGGGTTAATCTAAAGTTGATTGGTCTTATCGATTGACTAACGATTAATTGATAAGCGGCCATTTTCCTAAAAACCAGACATTTCTCTTGAATCATGGGTCATGAAGGGAACAATTTTTACACACTAAATAAAAAAGTACAATATTATATTTTATAAATTTGTTGTGCCAGCTGTATTAAACACTGACTGAATAAAACAGAAAACTGTGGATTTCTCTCACATTTATTAAACTTGGACATATTTAAAAAATATAACAAAACAGGAATTTGTTAGGTTGCTAGTTGGGGAAAAAAAGTAAAGAATAAAAAAGTAAAACACTTGATCCACCCTGAACATAAAGATGTAAAACTAACATTTAAAGGGACAATATCATGTAAAATCAACTTTTTTGAGTTTTANTGACTCATTCATCATGTTTGAGAAATCCTGCAGTGTTTTTATGAAGCCATGCTGAGGAGCAAAACAACAGGTGGGGACCAGAAACACCTTTTGGTACCAGGAACACCTTTTGGTACCAGAAACACCTTTTGGGACCAGAAACACCTTTTGGTACCAGAAACACCTCTGGGACGTGTCTTTAAGCTGAACTTCCTCATGGCAGAGCACACCCCTCCCCTCCCTCCCCCTCCCATACACACCGCCCTTGACCCCTGCAGGCTCTCGGGTGAAACTGAAAGTGAAAGTGAAACTGTCTGCTGAGCTCCTTACGTCTCACTCAGTGAGGCTCTTTTCATATTAAAAATACCTTTGAGGAAATGTATTTTCAGATGCCAAATAAACTGCGTCATAGCACCCCCCCCCTCCCCCCGCACTGAAATGGGTGGGACAGAAGCGGAAGGTGGTTCTTAAAAAGACAGAGGCCAATTTCAAGGTGTTTAGAAGAGGAAGTGATGAGTAGATACGTTTATTTTCTATTTAAACATAAAAACAGCATTTTAATAACAACTAAAGGTGACATAGATACTTTATTATGGTATAGTATTTAAATATATGCCTGAGAAACACATAATATTGGCCCTTTAACAGAGGTAACATTTTAATCTAAAGATTTACTCAAAAACAAACTATAAACATGACCTGAGAGGGGTAAACATGCAAATGAGTACTGGAACTGTTTACATTCCCCGTGGTTCTGTCCTGTTCTGTTTTTGTTTTGTTCTTTCACACGGAGTTAAACTCTACAAGAAGAAGCTAAAGTTAGCTAAAGTTAGCTTACCATTCCGTCGTCCTGCTCTCTTGTATTTAGCATCATACTGCTGGATAGTCCAGTCTTCAGTACTTTACCTTCCAGTTTGGTGTAGTCCATTATTATTGTGGTGTCACAAATAAAACTAAACAAGATTTGTGTGTAATTATGACGCTGCTGACGTCGGGGCTGCGCTCTGCTCAGCTAGCTAGAGTAGTACGAGCTGAGAGCAGCGGCGCCCTCTACTGGATGAAGGCAAAACTACACTGAAATAAGTTTTAAATGGATGTTTTCAATTAATCGAATGGAAGAAATTTTAATAAATCATTATTTGACAATTAATTGTTAGTCGATTAATTGTTTGCATCCCTTGTAGGAGTCCATAAAACCTGTTTACATGCTTTTCAAATCTAATTTTCTTCTGTATCTTGTTGCTTCTGTAGTGTCAGCGTCACCCACACCTCTACAAGTCAGTAGCTTTACCCCGAAGACATCAACTACAATCCAACAGCCCCCACCTTACTCCCAGTCTCAGCCCCCTTCTGCTGCTGCAGGGCAGCCTTCTGCCTTCACTCAGATGCTGGGTCAGGTTCCCAAGGCTCTCACCAGCACCCCATCTGTAGTAGGACCCACCATGTTTGGGCTATCCAGTCAGGTCAGCGTCCCCTCTGCTTCGACAGCCTCCACCTCCATCACGTCTACTGCCCCCCCAGCCAGCAGCTCTGAGTCCGTCAGCACCACCAACCCTCTGCTGGCTGCTGGGTTCAAGCCCATTTTCCCAGCAGCCACCACCTCCCCAGCTGTACCGTCGTTTGAAAACAAACCCTCCCTCCAAAATTTCAAGCCCATTTTTGGAGACATCACAGCAGCAGGCTTTGCGCAGCCCCCTACAGTCACCGCCCCCTCCACAGCCTCTACGCCCYCTGCCAGTACCACCTCCTCCATGTTTGGAGCATCATCCAGCAGCACCACGTTGGCCCCACCTTCTTTCTCTGGCTTTAACAACACGTCTGCTGGAACAGCCTCCTCAGYTTCAGCCACAGCGGCGCAGCCGGCAGCCCAAACAGCTGTGAAATCCCTCTTTGGAAACTGGTCCGCACCCCCCACCACAAGCAGCAGCTCCTCCTCAGCGCAGCCCACCAGCACAGGAAGCACATTTCAGTTCGGAGCTGGCGCCGCACCAACAACCGCAGTGGTGTCTGTTGCCCCTGCGGCCGCCCCCACCACTTCCTCCAGCACAGGCTCCTTCACGTTTGGCGTCACCCAAACTAACCCTCAGGCGTCCAGCCAGAAGATATTTCCCTTTAGTCAGACTGCACCAGGCCAAAACACAACCACTGCTTCGTTTGGAGCCTTTGCCATGACCAACACCGTCTCCACCGCTGCTGCCACCTCCACCACCCAGTCCACCTTCGCCTTTGGAAAGCCAGCGTTCGAAGCTCCGGCTGCACAACCGACCTTCAGCTCTTCAGCAGCTCCAAAACCCTTCCCCTTCGGAGCTGGCGGCGTGTCATCGGCACCTGCTTCTAACCCCGCCCCGGCCCCCTTCGCCTTCGGAGCTGCCGCCACCACGGCCGCCACCTTCGGGACCCCGGCTAAACCGGCGTTTGGAGCCAGTTTTGCTTTRGGCGCTAACTCGGCTCCTTCAGCCGCACCCTCGGCCGCGCCAYGCTTCGGCGCAGACACCCAGACTCAGAGCTCCTCTTCGACCACGTTCACATTTGGAGGTGCTGCTCCTCATCCGGCTCCTTCCAGCTCCACTCAGCCTGCGCCCGGTGGCTTTAACTTCGGTGAAGGTTTGCCCCGCCCCCAGTTTGGAACTCCGGTTTCCAGTAATCCTGCTCCACAGATGGGAGCTTTTAACTTCGTGGCTGCAGCATCAGACAAACCAGTTTTTGGTGAGCATTAAAATTATTTGCAAATCATTAAAACTTAAGCTGAATTAATGGTATGCTTGTTGTTGCTCAAACAGGTTTCCCGCGGATCCTTAAAAAGTCTTAAAAGGCATCGAATTCCTCAATCCAAAAATAAGGACTTATTTAACCTTAAAATGTCTTAAATCAATTTTCACAGGTCTTAAAAATGTTAGGTTCTAAGAAGGATGATTGTATTTGTCTCCAATATTAAAA